TCTTGGAAATCAGCTCTAATGAATTTACCGAGCTGGATGGGCAAAGGATTTCCTTAATCTGGCCTGATAGACATGTAGGAAATATTACCGTCCACAGTCTTAAAGGGTTAAGATATCTACCCTGGGCAAATGATTTGAAATGGGGTCCAACATTTCCGCAAGTGGAGGCTAGTTCAAAAAAGAAAATGTTATAGATAATCTCCCCATTTATAGTGAATTTGCTCTAGAGTACCACGATGTTGAACATTTTGAGACAAATGGAAACGAGAGTGTATGTTGGAGAGACAGAAGAGAGAGAGAGAGAGAGAGAGAGAGAGAGAGAGAGAGAGAGAGAGAGAGAGAGAGAGCCAAATGGAAACGAGAGTGTATGTTGGAGAGACAGAAGAGAGAGAGAGAGAGAGAGAGAGAGAGAGAGAGAGAGAGAGAGGGGGGGGGCAGAGAGAGACAGAGACAGAGAGACAAAGACAGACAGAGACAGACAGAGACAGACAGAGAGAGACAGAGAGAGACAGACAGAGAGAAGAACAGAGAGCCAGAGAGAGAGAGAGAGAGAGAGAGAGAGAGAGAGAGAGAGAGAGAGAGAGAGGGGGGCAGAGAGCCACAGAGAGGTTTGGGGGGGGGGGGGGGGGTGTTAACTTGATAATTGTAGCTAATTCAACGTGTCATACAGCGTTTTCAAATATTTGACGGTGCTCTCTGTTTTAAGTGTGTTTTGGTGCGTTGAATTGATTGTGTACAGTGGTCAGTCTGGTGGTCAGTATTGTATGAATGGATGAGAGAGAGGGAGAGAGAGGGGGAGGGAGACAGAGAGAAAGAGAGGAAGAGAGAGAGAGAGAGAGAGAGAGAGAGAGAGAGAGATAGGGAGAGAGGAGAGAGTGTGTTCTTTGTCGTTCACCATCTATACACATTGGAACTTCAAAGCTAATAAGTATTGTAAAAATGTACACGTGTAAGCTACAAAATGGATTTTAAGTCATTGCATTGGTAGGGATTTTTATCCACCATGCAATCAGTTAAAAGTTTTAAAACCTTTAAATCAGAAAGATTCAAATTATAATATTTACCAGATTTAGGCAGAAGAAACACATGTCTGCTTTTTTTTTTTTTTTTTTTAAATAGTAGAGTGGTTTACGGCGCTCGCAACTGCATAAGGTCATATGAGCGCGCGGGACACACCTAATATTTTCAGTTGATAGGAAATTTTGAATTTTGCCCGGGTGGCGGCCGAAGCCTACTCTTATCGATTTTAGACCACCAAGGGATCTTTAACGTGCGCAACTTGCACACAGGCCCTCCGAGATGTTTCGCCCTTGTCCGAGAAGGCTAGGTGTAGATCTTTCCTACCAGAAGATCAGGGGTGTGGCTGAAAGACTGCAGTAAGAAGAAGCGAAGGAGTAGCAGTAGAAAGGCTGCAGAAAGAATCAGGAGCCCAGAGGAAGGGGCAAAGGAGGTGACCGGGTAAGGGCAGAAAGAGGAGACGAAAGCAGACGACAGAACATTGCTAGAGAGTAGGAAATGAGGTGAAAGGAGACAAATTTAGAGAAGAAATTTTTTTTCGGTCGCTACCCGGATTCGAACCCGGGACCTTTTGAGTGAGAGGCCAACACCTTAACCTCTAGGCCACGAGAGCCCCCCCCCATGTCTGCTTTGTGCCTCTGCTTCACTGAAAGAAGAGCTACACATTGTATAAATAAAATGTATGCAAAAATAAAATTCTAATTATTTCAAGAAATTTACTGACTCCACAGAAGGAAAACAAAATGCCTAATTCACACCAAAAACCCCCCTCCCAGCGCAGATGTATGAAAACAAAAGGTCTAACTCATCGGAAACATAGCGCCTAACTCATTTGCTTAGATGCTAAATGCCGAAGTCGTTTTTAAAAATATCTACAAAGGCCAATAATCAAGAGATGAATTGATGAAATAAACAGTTAAATAATGCTTTTCAATGTTGAATGTGAACACAATTGTAGTAAAAGTGTGACTAGGAAGGATATGAAGAAGTCTTTTTTCTGTCCATTGTAAAATCACCCAAAATGAGTTAGGCCCTTTGCACATTAGCATGATGGTAAACAAAATGTGCATGAGAAGCGGGAAGAGCTGTGAACAATCCCATTTTACGCGTGGTGGAGATTTAAAATGTTTTGTATAAATTAAGGAAGAAAGGTTTTTTAATATAGCCTCAATTGTTGTGGGAAAATACAAATCTGATTAAGTTAAGACAAGTTGATACAAACTGCAGTGCAAAGCATGGGTGACAGTGATTCATCCGTTAAAGAGATATTAAGGATAAGTTGCGCCACGAATTTTGGACCGTACTATAGTGCGATGTGGGCGTGGTGCGGTTCTCACACGGTGCTCCGTGGTGCGGTGTCGTGTCACACCAAAAGTCTCATGTTCTATTGCGTAAAGCGCCCAGAAATAGAAAGAAAAAAATACAAGAAGCCAACAACCTGCACTGCTAGTAATGTATTTCATAGTCAAACATACTCTAGCGGCCACCTGTCCAAGACAACTGTATGTTCTAACGACCATTTCCCACGTCACCCCCTTTTTTTATTTAGGTGTTATACGGCGTTCGCAACTACATAAGGTCATATGAGCGCGCGGGACACATTAAACTTTTTCAGTTGGTAGGAAATTTTGAGTTTTGCACGGGTGGCGCCAAAGCCTACTCTTATCGATTTTGGACCACCAACGGATCTTTAACGTGCGCAACTTGCCCATGAAACCTCCGAGATTTTTCGCCTTTATCGGAGAAGGCTATGTGTAGATCTTTCCTACCATAAGATCAGGGGTATTGCTGAAAGACAGCTGTAAAAAGGAGCCAAGGAGTAGCAGTAGAAAGGCTGCAGAAAAAGTCAGAAGCCCAGAGGAGGGGACAAAGGAGGTGAGCGGGTGGGGGCAGAAAGTGGAGGCGAAAGCAGACGACAGAACATTGTTAGAGAGCAGGAAAATTTGGAGAAGAAAAATTTGCGTCGCTATCCGGATTCAATACCGGGACCTGTTGAATGAAATGTGAACACCTTAACCTGTAGGCCACGAGAGCCGCTGCTGTGGGCGTGGGGCGGTTCTCACACGGTGCTCGGTCGTGCGGTGTCGTGTCGCGCCAAAAGTTTCATGTTCTATTGCGTAAAGCTCCCAGAAACAGAAACCTGTTTTTTAAAAGCCAGCAACCAGTTTACTTACTTTTACTCTTTCATCCTCTG